TCCCTTCAAAGTCCACAGGAAGTGAACAGTCACTATCTGTTCACTTCCTGAGTGCCCCGAAGTCCACAGGAGGTGAACAGTCACTATCTGTTCACTTCATGAACCCTGCAGTCTATTTTAGCTTCAAGGCCTTTGCCTTTGAAATGACGAAAATGAAAAGGCCATCTGCTGCCACAGAAAAGGATAAACATAAGAAAAAAAAGGAATCTGAGCCAGCAGAGCGAACAGGTGAGCCAACAGAAGATGCAGGCTTGAAAGACAGCCCAGCCCCTAAAGACAAGCCAAACAATGAAGCGACAAGTGCTCCCCCTACTCCAAGTGATTCAGGCACTTTGAACAGCACCAGGCTGAAGCTCCACGAGACAACAACAACAGCAATCAAAGGCCTGAAAGAAGGCCTTTTGACTGAAGAAGAATTCTGGAAGCAAATCTCAAAGGATAACCAAGGACCTCTGTGGAAACATTTTGCATCCCACAGGAAAAAGGATGAGGAAGCTGCAGAAGCTTGGAGGAAGCTGGGTGGTCCAGGGGTTGTTGCGAAAAAAAGGAAGCTTTTGTTGCATTTCCTTAGGACAGGAACTGTCCAGGGAGGAAGCTTGAAAGAAAGCCAGGAAGCATCCCACCAAAAAACAGATAACGAACTGTTTGAGTGGGTGCCTTGGGTGCAGCTATGCAAATGGTATGGGGAAACCGAAGCAAAGGACAGAGTAGAATCTGGCATGGTTGCTGTCAGAAAAGTTGGCCAAAAGAAGCGATTTTTTGAGTTCCTCCTGGTGAAGCAAACCACTTCTTTGTCTTGGGAGCAGAAACAGAGGATTGCAGCCGAAATGAAATGTGCCCTGGAAGGCAAAGAGCTGCAGGCTTGCAAGAAAGCCTTGAAAGCCCCCACCACCAAGCAAGATTGGGAAGATTGGTGGGATAATAAAAAAACAAGCTCTGCCTTCCAGCTAGCGGATGCCTTCTCCTCTGATAGTGACTTGTGCGAGGGGTCAGAAGATCAGGAGTCAAGCAATGAGCACGACAATCCAGCCATGTCATTCTTGCAAGGCTTGCAAAAAAGCCATGTGAGCAAGAACTCTAAGGAAAAGGCAGTAGATCTTGCAAAAAAGAAGAAGGAAGAGAAACAGGCTCAAAGGGATAAAGCCAAGCGAGAGAAGGAAGCTCTCAAGGATGCTAAGAAGCAGAAGGCTGAGGACACATGGAACCAAAAACTGGAAGAGGCCACACAGGTTGAAGAAAATCAGGGAGAAACGAAAATCAGGAAAATGCTTGGACTGATCACAAAAATGGTGACAGATTTCAAGAAGGCTTGCAAGAAAGCCAATGAGCCCACCCATGAAGCGGAGCTGAATGAACTGCAGGAATGCAGGGCACAGCTGGAGGATCTTGTCCTGGAGGATGATCTGGAACAGATCAGGGTGGCTCTGACTAGGGCAGCATCTGCTCTGAAGGCAGCAAAAAAATGCATTGGTGCCTGAAAAAAGGCCAGGTAATGCAGGTGCCTTGAAACCATAAGGTTTTGAAACCCCCCTGGCCATCAAGGCCTGAAAGAAGGCCAGGTAATGCAGGTGCCTTGAAACATGCCATGCCTTGCAATAAGCAAGCGATTTTCCAGCGATCCCAGCGATCAAGCGAAAAATAGCTCTGCTGCAGCTTTGCTTAGTAGAAATGGGCCATGCTCACAACTCACATATTCTTTTTCTAACGCAGCCATTTTGGTTCCATGCCAGGGGTCAGGCAAAGGTTAGACATAGAAGAAAATAAAAAAAGGAAGGCAGAATGCAAGAAAGCCAGTGCCTGGCAGACAAATTGCTCCAGCTGTGGTCTTTATAAAAAATTGTCCAAGAAATAGCTCATGCTGCCACTTGTGATGGCCTGGCTACATCAGATATCATGAGCTTGGCAAACTTAGGCACTTTTGGCAAGCACCCAGCGAATTGCCACCGAGACATGCTGAGACATCTGCAAACCAAGCTACAACGATCTCAGCATGGAGGCTTGAAAGATAGCCCATCCTTGCAAATCAGAGTCCAAGCTTTAGATGCGAAAGAAGAAGACCCCAAAACTAGTGTGGATTGTTCCATAGTCCTGCCACATTTGCTCATATGGCAATTTTTTGAAACCTATGAAAAGCTTTGCCCTCACCTTTTTGGACTTGGCAAGCTTGACGACTTCTGGGGAAGAATAAAAAAGGATGACCCCAGGATCTGGGGCATGGGTTTGAAAGAAAGCCAAAAGGACCGACTTGTGCCACTGTGGCTCCATGGGGACGGTGTGGAATTTTCCACAGACAGTCTCTTAACATTCTCCTTTGGCCCCACCTTGTTTTCACCTGGTGGCTTGCAAGAAAGCCACAAAGAAGAAAGGGCAGGCCATTGCATGGAAACCAGTTGGCTTATAGCAGCTTGGCCAAAAGCAGCCACTGCGAAGGAAACTTGGGGCAGCATTATGAAGTGATCACTTGGTCCTTCACTTGTTTGTGGCAAGGCAAACATCCTCACACAAATTGGAAAGGAGAGGCTTTGCCATCCAAACTTCAGAGGCTTGCAGGAAAGCCAATTGCAGATGGCTATCGATTTTGGGTGTTCAATTACCTGGGAGACTTAGACTATTACAGTAACACCCTGGGCTTTCCCCACTGGGGGCGACATGATTTCTGCTGGCTTTGCGATTGCCACAGGCAGGATGACTCAAAATCTCCTCGGGATTTCACTGAAAAACCAGGGTGGAAACTCAAGCCATACAAAGACTTGAAAGAAAGTCCTTGCACAAGCCACCCCTTGTTCAAGATACCAGGAGGTCTTCCAGAATATCGAATTTGTTTGGATGCCTTGCATACATTAGATTTGGGCCTTTCTGCACGACTGGCAGGCAGCATTCTTCATTGCTGGGCCTTCCCCCCAGGGGCCACCAAAAGTGCTGGGGCTTGCAATATAGCCAAGATTTGGGCTTCAATCAAAGAAGCGTATGAAGCCTTGAAGATCAAGGAAAAATTCAACAACATGACAGTGTCGATGTTCTGCAATGCAGAAAAGCCCTTTGCTTCAGTGCCAATATTGAAAGGGCATGCTGGGGAGATTAGACATTTCCTTTTTGCTTTGAGCTGGGTGGCTTGGAAGAAAGCCCATGAAAGTGAGATGCACAATCACATGGCTGAGTCCTTGGCCCACCTCTGCGAGTTCTACTCTCTTCTCAAAGAGCAAGATTTCTTCATGGAAGAAGAGGCTTGGAAGAAAGCCCACAAAGCCATGCGAGGCTGCTGAATCCATGTTGCATGGCTCAACAGATCCTGCAAGGATGAATATAGATTTAGGGTGACACCGAAAATGCATTTTGCTTTGCATCTTGCATGGTCCTGCAGGTGGCAGAACGCATCCACATGTTGGACTTACAAGCAGGAGAGCTTTATGGGCTATGTGTCCAATTTAGCCCACTCCTGCTCCCATGGTACACGAGCTTGCAGACTCAGCAGCTCTCTAGTAAGCAAATACCTGCTGGCATTGCAATTGAAAATAAACAACCTTATCTAAAAGCCTGAAAGAAGGCCAAAAGATAATGCTTCACCAGGGAAGGGCTTGAAAGAAAGCCACCCTGTTGTGTACAGCCAAAACTACTACCAGCTTTCTGAATTGTTTCACCTGCTGTTTCACTTGCAGCCTCCTACTTGCAAAAAGAGCCTGTACCAACTAGGATCCATATCACAGGACCAATATTGACCAATATCTAATGACCAATATTGACCAATATCTAATGACCAATATTGACCAATATTGACCAATATTGAGACCAACCGGGATTGGTCATCAGAGATGCTTTGATCACAAAGAAAATTTCAATATTCAATCGGGATTGGTCCCCTCCCAGGACCAATCGTAAGATTGATTTTTTTCAATATTGGATTCTCAGGGTGGAGGTTCACAAAGTGCTGCACCTGCCACGAAATCTGCACATGGAGGTTCACAAAGTGCTGCGTCTGCCACGAAATCTGCACATGGAGGTTCACTAAGTGCTGTGCCTGCCACGAAATCTGTGCATGGAGCTTCACAAAGTGCTGCGCCTGCCACGTAATCTGCGCATGGAGTGTGCCTGCCACGACATCTGCGCGTCAAGAAACAAGTGAAAACTCTAATCACGATGGAGGGACGATTCCGGGCATGATCCGACCATGACCCGAGACCGTCTCGCAACCGTCGTTCTGCGGAGCTTCCCCGTCGAGGTTCGGAGCAGCATGGAGGTTCACAAAGTGCTGTGCCTGCCACGAACACTGCACATGGAGGTTCACAAAGTACTGCGCCTGCCACGCAATCTGCACATGGAGGTTCACAAAGTGCTGCCCCTGCCACAAAATCTGCACATGGAGGTTCACACAGTGGTGTGCATGCCACGAAATCTGCACATGGAGGTTCACAACGTGCTGCGCCTGCCACGAAATCTTTACATGGAGGTTCACAAAGTGCTGCGCCTGCCACGTACACTGGAGCTAGAGCTGTTGAAACTAGACCTAACTGGAGCTAGAGCTCTTGAAACTAGAGCTACCTGGAGCTAGAGCTATTGAAACTAGAGCTACCTGGAGCTAGAGCTCTTGCAACTAGAGCTAACTGGAGCTAGAGCTCTTGAAACTAGAGCTAACTGGATGATGACTGGTGTATGATGAGTGGTGTATGATGAGTGGTGTATGATGAGTGGTGTATGATGAGTGGTGTATTGATGAGTGGTGTATTGATGAATGGTGTATGAACAGTTCTTGAATGTCCGTAACACGGAAGTTTCGTACACTAAACTTCCTTTGATAACAACTATGCAGGGAATGCTGCTCATTCCGTTTGGATGTGCTTCGTGTGTTGTGTTGGATCGAAGATCCATCATTCCAGACGCACTCATTTGCGTTGAAAGCACCAACCCTCAAAATCCATCCAGACCAAGCACCGGTGAACATCTGCCAGAATCTCCATTCCCTCCTCCAGGGCGTTCTCCCCGCCCCCAGGGCCCCAAATCCTGAGGACATCCTTCACGTTGAACCTTCTCATCTCCTGTGTGCCTCCCTGGCAACGGGCCTCGCACCTCCTGGACGCCCTGATCGGTCCATGCCACAGCCTTCGGGCTGACGTGGTGTCCTTTGGCTCGGCGATGACGTGCTACCAGGAGCAGAGGCAGTGCCTTAGTAGCACGGGTCGAGACCCCTCACAGCCATGGCTTCCAACCTAATAGCAATGGCCTCCAACCTAACGGGTCGTTAATAGACACCCCGTATACCAAATGGTACTTCTTAGGAGTCACCTGGCACAAATATGTATAAATACCGCGCCTGCAAGGCCAACCTTCGCAGGATTCTTGGATAGGCTAGCGCATTCTAGCTGCGATCGCGCAAAGGAGTACATTGTATCACCCGCTTTGGATGTTTGGTCTGAAACATTGATCTCCCCAAGCCAGACCAACGACTAGTCGTTCAACTGATAGGCCCTGCAGGCTCTGCAGACTTCGGCATTTCTACTGCAGTTCAGGCCCTGAATGGACCTCTCGTCACTTCGCCAACTTCACCTCCCACCTTTAAAGCCAAGAGAAACGCCTTCCCGCCAGGTGGGCCTTAGCCTTCGACACCTACGGAGCGCAACGCAACTCTGGCGTTCCCTTGAACCCGGTGACGCGGAGCGTGTTGTTGAGCACGGAAGCGACTGCATGGCCAAGCGCGGTGCTGCTCTTTGCACAGCTCAAGGCAGAGAAGCTGGTGGAGAGCGACTTCATGTGCCGCTGGGGTTAAAGGTTTACACCATATGAGGGAGGATCAAACTTTACTTGTGGCGGGATGGTCGCACGAGGAACATCGTTTTTGGGAGCTCCCCAAGGACAAAAAGACGTCCTTCTGCGCCGAATCCGTGCTTAGGTAGAGCCTCCCAACTGCTGACACCCACTTGGATCAAGAGGGCACAGAATCCTTGGGCATTGGCCGTATGTTTACGTGTTGGTGAATTCCGTTGATTTGTTTGGAGCCATTCTGTTTGGCTCTTCAGTCTTCCAGTGATCTTCCAGTGTCCACTTTTTTCAGCCCAACGGCAGAGAGTGGCAACGGAGTGACGATTCCGTTGAGGTCATTCGATGATGAAGAGTCTGAGTCCCTGGCCAATGATCCTGAACACCTTGGAGACCATGAAGCTCTTCAGGTGGCGCAATACTCTTCGCTACCGAATCCAGTGGAACAACTGCAACAACTGCAGTCCGGTCGCTTAGGATGTCCGGTCGCTTTTGCTCTGTCCGGTCTCAAGAAGTGGAGGTGGCTGGCTGGTCTCAAGAAGTGGTGCTTTAAAAAGAAGTGAGTCGTGTCACCAGCTGGTTCGGGGAAAGAAAGTGCTTGGCATGCTGGTGTGGTTGGCTTCAGCTGAATCATGTTTTGATGTTGCATATTTGCACAAGCTCTAACAATGTGTTTCAAACATGTCTAACATACATCGACAGCGGAGCATGTTGGGTCTTTTTGCATGCAGGCTGATGCCCACTACCATCTCCATCAGTCGCCCGTCAGAGTTGGAGAGGGACGGAGAGTTGGGCGTTTGACAACTGTCACTGGGTGTCACTGGGTGTCACTGCATACCAGGACCCGACACCGTGGGGTACCCTGTCTGGAAGCCTATATATAGGTAGTGTGGGGTAGTCCAGCCAGGACACCCGGAGGGTCCAGGTACCTTGGGTCTTTGTAGACGTCGGTCGTCTACACAGTCAGACGACACCTTCTCCGACCGGTCGGGCGCGTTGTGTGGAGTTTGGTTGGGTGTCATCCGAGCAACATGGGCGTGTTCAGCTTGGGGGAGACCTCTCAGACATGGCGATCCCGGAAGGTTCGGAACATAGACCAGTCGGTTGGAGGTTCATGCGAGCCCGTTGGGTGTGTATGTGTGTGTTTGTGAAAGCCTTTATTGAATTCATTGGATTTCTGGGCTTAGGTTGGATTGGATGGATAGTTGATGGGTTCATATATATATATATATATATTGGTTGCTTGATTCATGTGCTACATAGAAAAGAACATGCTGCTAGCTGACCCGCTTCTCATCAGCCTATAGCGATCCTGAGAAGCAGAAAGCTATAGATCATTCTGCATCCATCCCCCAAACAGTTGACAAGTTGACATCCACCAATCCCCGAAGCGGACTCACGATTCTATTGGGGGGAGTTCGGATGAAAGTGGTTCCAGATGGGTGGACATGGATGACAAAGCCAGGAAGCACCAGATCCTCAGAAGAATTCGATTCATGTTCTTTTTCCTGAAGGTCTTCGAGGAGAAGTGAATCGCCTGGATTTTGGATTGGATCTTCGATTGATCCACGGATATTTCAACCACGTGGACCATCGTGGACCTATCCTCTATACAATCACAGGGGGTCATGGTAATATACTGACGTTGAGTGACCTTTACAGACACGTGTCTCGGGTAGGCTTTGCTCACTGTGGGTGATGACTAGTTCATATGTTTGATCTATAAACTCACTGTCAAGACCCCATCCCATCCCGCTGTATGTCCACCCACATGATACTTCGAAGGATCTGGTTTTGCAGTGATTGGTGTTGACTTTCTTCACAGTGCAGGTGACGGGAGGGTTGCCTAACAACACTTGGCGGATGCATTGGTGGTTCCGCTTTTTCTTCATCAAAACACACCTAACACATCCAAAGCATACAACCAGCAAATGCCAATACCTCATGTTCAGGTCCAAAAAGCCTTCGTTCGATCGAAACCACCGATCTCCCGATCTCCACCATCACCTCTGCAACAAGCCCTGGGAGACTCGCCAGGCTCGGTGATGAGCAGCTGTGAGAAGGGCTTTCAGTGGAGCAAGGCCATGGAGTTGATCCATGGAGTGCGACGCGTGCGCCCGAGCCTGGCATTGAGATATCATCCCGGAGGTGGATCCACAGACCTTCTCAGAAGGTATTTGAGCCCACCAAGCCTACTGAAATACTCTCCAATCATCTTCTCAGATAGTATGTGGATCCATACAAATCTATTTTTGGCAATATTTTGGCGCTCCAAAGAAGATCCAGGTGGAAGGTGAAGAACGAACGACCCAAGGTGGAAGGGCGAGTCGTTTCAAGATGGGCGCTGTGTTGTTGTTGTTGCTGTTGTTTTGGTGTAAAGCTGTTCGTCGTAATTATATATATATACACCCTATAGGGATCCCTAGGGATCCAGTCGGACCTTCTAAGAAGGTACGACTGGACCCTCCAAACCTATACATACCAGTGTCTCCAATCACCTTCTTAGAGGGTATGTGGATCACGACATATATATATATTCATGGATCAGCGGCAGAATTAGATGGGTGAAATCGATGTGTTTGGCTTCCTGCTGTCCGACCTGAGTTCCATGATGTTCCATGGTTTGGCTGCAGATGTTGGAAGATCGCGGAGGCTACACTTTGACCCACTAACTTAAAGTGGATGACATTTTTTTTGGAAGACGGCTTGCCTTGACGAACAGGGGATTTGTCATTTCCATGTGATGTGTTCGGAGGCGAAATCTTGGAATCAAGTTGTGAAGGCTTTGAGCTCGCGGCGCGTGCGCATGCGCTCGCGGCCTTTGATGTTGGGATTTGAAAGGCGAAAGACTGCTACCCAACGACCGATCTGCAGAGGTCTTCTCCAGGCGAAATCGAGGAGTGAAGGAGATTTATTGAGTCTTCGTGCGTTATCCGGTCAAAGACTCTGATTCATCAGCTTCACTACAGACCTAATGAAAACACAGACCTCACCGGGAAGGCCAGATTCTCGTGAGGTTTTCAAGGTGTAGTCTGGGAGCTGGATGTACAGGACATGACAATTCTATGTGTTTAGTTTACAGATGCTTACAGTTTAGTTTACCTACAGGAAGGACTTGTCAGGAGCATTTGGTCAGGCGAAGCCTGTGTTTCCCTTGTGGTGATCAACAAACAGATAGAAGAGCTATGAAGAACTTATATAATACCCCACAAAACGCTTTGAAGATTTGGACGTGAATTAGGACAGGGAGCACCTGGCAAAAGGAACCGTTGACTAATTGTCATCCATCCTTTTTTCATCCTTTCTCCGATACTCCATTGCTTTGATGTACTTTTTCCTTCCAACTACTCTCCAAGGTCACAGAAAAGCATATCAAAAGCGTCCGATTCGTCCGGCAGGGCCACCGGGCTCTCCGGCAGACACGGGCCGTTCGGGCCGTTATCGATCGGCGGTTCCACCGTTCCGAGTCCGGTCCGGGAGAAGGTGGTAGGTGTCGAGAAGGTGGGTGGTTTCAACCTGGGGCGTTTGGAGTTCGTTTTTCTTTCCCTATATAGTACCCCTCCACATGGCTCGTGTATTGGTGTCTTTTTTGTCTTGTGCCACGTCCTTCTATCGAGGACGACACTACACCTCCTGAGAAGATGGGCCAGGGGTGGATGCCAGGAGGGTCTAACCACTGAACCTGAGGAGATGGTGAAGTCGCCCTAGGGTTTTACCCAGACACGACCCATGGGACTGGACGACTAAACCGGATCCATTGGGGTAGTTTGAGGGGTTAAGGTATGACAGACATGGAGTGTGTGGGTTATGTTTTTTTTGTGCGGTTTCGTTATGTTTCGTTGAGGGATGTGGAGGGTTTTCGCCGTGAACCGCGTTGAGGAATGAAGTCTCCTACGGCTCGAGCATCTCTGCTTCGACCAAGGGCACTCTTTGGTCGCTTTCGTTGGCGCAGCTGTACCGAATGGTCACTTGGAGGAGACCAGCTGGTGTTCGTGGACACGAGACATTTCTTGCAGTGGAAGGAGCATCCACGGAGCATCCAGGGAACATCCTCTTAAGAGGCTTTTAAGAAAGGCACTACAATGTTCAATCCCTAGGGATCCACATATCCTCTGAAAAGGTGATTGGAGACACGGTTATGTAGGTTTGGAGCGTCCAAGTACCTTCTGAGAAGGTCCGACTGGATCTCTAGGGAATGGTATTCAGGTTACTGCCTTTGTCTTCCAGCGGAGCTGTGAGAGCACTCAAGTGATCGGTCGTATGGGGTTTTAGGTGCACCACTGCACCACAAAACGTTGCAACAACTTCTGTGCTGCTTGGGTAATGCATGTATCTCCAGGAAGTTGTTAAGGTGCGCACACCATTGCCCAGGCTGCATCACGGTATAGAAGCCGCTGCCTTGCTGAGATTTTTTGTTCTTTTCTTCACTGCATGACCATGCCCAAGTTGGGTAGAAAATCAAGTCCCGGCAGTGTGCACAAGTTAACTTGTCTGTAGGCAGAAACGCCACAAGATGAATGAACCCACATCAAGCTGAGTATATAAACACTGACCGACCACTGACCACTGGCCATTTGTGTCAATGTCCATTGGTTCGTTCATCTGAAGAACCGCCAACAGTCTCGTTTGAAGACCCGCTTTTTTCGGCGTCCAAACTCTGCAGCCCGGTGCAGCCCGGCGCCCCCCAGAGAGCTCAAGCGCCCACAAAACACCGAAGAGCTCGTCACACCGCGTTTCTGCCGGAAATAGATAGATTAATAGACAGATAGATAAATAGATACTGTAGATAGATTGTTAGATCGATAGATAGATAGACAGACAGACGGACAGACAGACAGATAGATAGATAGATCGATAGATCGATCGATCGATCGATAGATCGATAGATGGATAGATAGATAGACAGATAGACAGACAGATAGACAGATAGACAGAACAGAATTAGATACACAGATAGAATTCGATAGGTAGACTTACTGTAGATCGATAGAATTAAATCGATCGGTAGAATTTGCTCCATGATGCTCCATGTAATCATGTAATTAGATCGATAGAAACACCCGGAAACACCTGGAAACACCTGGAAACACCTGGAAGCACCTGGAAACGCCTGGAAACACTTGGAAACACCTGAGGGGAGGCCACTCAACTCGCTCAACTCTCAGCAGTTCCTGGCCATTCTCAGCTCGTTTGAGACGCTTTTGGGGGAGAAATTTGGTATATACGTCTGGACATTCATTCAGTGCTATAATCAGAGGCCTTGACCTTCTTCGGCTCTTTTTCGAAGTCGATAGAAGGTGACTTCCGGCCGGGTAGATCGTATAGTAGCCAGTGTTGATGTTGGATTCTCTGGCTGAATTGCCCGACAGTCGCTGGTGGTGGAGGGGTCACCGCCAAAGAAACAAAACGATCATACCAACTCCAGCCTAAGGGTTGGTGAAAAGACACCTCGAATCACCTCTTTTGTGATTTACTGATTTCATTGGAGCCCGGGCTGGTCGTGGACCGCCCAAAGCGTCTGCTCTGCGGCTTCTCTACCGATCGAGTCGATTCCCCGGTCTTCCAACCGCGTCGGCGACTCCAAGGGCAGCAAAGGCCTTCCCCGGTCTCGGCGACTCAGTCAAGAGATCTGGGCTGACGAGGGGTGATTGCGAACTGAAGCATTGAAGCTGATGATTTTTGCGATGTTGAGTGCAGGGTTTCAGGGGAAGAAAGCGAGGGTCTTTCAGATGGATCATGTTTTTCCATGTGTGGTGTAGGGAGTTAGGTGTACAGCTAACTTGGATGATGGCGACTTCTAGACAAGAATTTTCGGACCATATTCCTGGAATGGCTTGGTGATCGCAGTGGTCCCCCAGCCTGTGCAGCCTGTGCCTCAACATCCCCCAAGTGTAGAATGCGAGGATGATTATTGATCTATCATATATAATATATATCATCCTAAATCACCCGGAGTGCACCAATTGCCTTGCGTTACCAGCTTGTTCGCACAGCTCGTTCGCCTCCAGCGAATCTTCTACGGACTCTACTCTACTGGAAGGAGTAAATGCCGAACCAATCCACTTGGCATCAAAGCAAATATAAACTGAAGAGTTGAGAACGTCATCACCTTGCGCTTTTCCTGGGCAACATTCCTGGTGCGATGTTTCTGACACCTTCTCTCACACTAAGGTAGTCCCTTGATTTACAAACCGCCCCCTAACAACCAAGGCCTCCAAAATAATGTATAAGAAAATCAATCAATTGATAATTAAATAAGGAATCCTTAGCTAGCTACCTCTGGAGCTACTCTGGCAATATTAAAATGAAAGGAATCAAGAAACCTAACTTTGAAGACATCTACTTTGAAGACATCTGGAATATTAATTACAATAAAAGGGAATGAATCAATGGAAATAGAACTAACTTTTTAAATTTCAATGGAAATCTGAATCCAAAGACCTGCAATTTCAATGGTAAGTAAATCAAATCAAAAGGCAAAGAAAAAGAATAAAGATTTGAAGCCTCAAATCTCTAGACATTATTCTAGGGGCCCCCCC